CCCCCACCCTGTAGTAGTGGTACAATAGGAATATAAGAGGACCCGAAATATAGTTACCATTATCCTTTATAGTCACTATTACAGGGTGGGGGGTCCTCCTAACCTAAACCCTTAGTCCTGAAGTTATAATATTATAACATTCCCATATACCCCATATGATATCTACTTCAAGGGGGACTAGATGATGATCTGTGTAGGGACCAGGGATAGCTCGGAGATGCAGGTCGCTGGCTGTGAACCATCCCGCCACCTTCTTCCGAGGCGTTGGGCTGGCTCTGGGCCTCCTCCCGAGAAAGTGGATTTTTTGTTTTAGGATTTAGGGGCTTATGGTTTAGGGGATTAGGGTTTAGGGTTTAGGGGATGAGGGTTTAGGGTTTAGGATTTGGGGGTTTAGGGTTTAGGGTTTAGGGGTACCTTTTTGGGAGTCCCTATGGTAAGGAAGTATAATGTTGGGCTCTACATTGGGCTCCCCCTTTTTCCGGAAAACTACCAAGTTAAGTCCCGTTTTGACCTGCTGTGGTTGAACATGGCCAAGGCGTAAAGGGCATGGCACCCAAAGCCCAGGATCTTCTGTCAGAGAAGGACGGGCTGCCTTTACTGGGATGCTTTAACGAGCTTAATTTAAGCTACCATAATAAGGAAACCCTGCTATTTACTATATATCCGTCGTATGGTAACTTCATTTCAGTTCCTTAACAGCAAACCAGTCTGGCATCAGGCATCGTTCCAGGGATGTGTATTTTTGAATTGTAGCGATGGCAATGGCAGTGACGTTTGTCGATTCTTTGCCTGTAGATTTGGGGTTATAAATCTGCTTCGGCAGTCAGCTAATTTTTAACATGAGGGACCACAACACTAAGGCCTGTATTTCAAGCCCTGAAATTAGGATCCGGAAGCACAATACCTCGAATGCCAGCAATTTGATGGGGGCAATGCTAGGTCATTGCTTTAGGCTTTGGGGACATTGTGATTGACAAGCAACGCAAACAGCAGATCTTTTGATGCCAGCTCAGTCCAGTGTTGTGAATTTTGTGGTCGTGGTAGCCAATAGGCGCATTGCTTCGTGGGTCCTGTGCCGTGCAGGAGTTCACAGCCAGCCTGGCGGCCAACGTGCTCAGTGGCGGTGCGGACGCCGCCAAGCTGCAAGAAGCTTTAAGAAGCTGAGATTGTTGAAAGCATTCTTCAGGCCTTGAAAGACCGCCGCGATCTGCGGGGTGAGGACGATGTTGAGGATGAGGCTGTGTCAGGGTGCGCATGTGTCCGTCAGCGTGTGCAGCTGCTGCTTGCTGTCTTCTTGCCAGGGCCCAGGAGAGGTCTGCACTGCGCTCTGCCAAGCTGCAGTGCAACACATCAGCAAGCGCTTTCTAGCAGGCCAGTGGCAAAATTTTCTTTCACCCTCCACTGTTGCCCTGGCAACGGTCAGGGGATGTGGAAGATGGCGTCGCCACAACGGCGTGGAATCTGCTAGATGGCATTTGCCGCTTCGCAAAGGCCCATGCGCCCAGGACTTGGGACTTGGCCTGCTGCAAAACTCATGTCGCGATGCCTGGTTCCGACCTATGCGTTTGAGTCTGCCTAAGGTCTAAGCCGCTGGTTCAGCTGGTGCTCCCACAAGCCGGCGCTCGGTTGGACGCCGCAAGCGGAAGGCCAACTTTGCTAGGTGAGTTTGACGGCCCCCTTGTATAGCAACATCACGTATCCTACTATTTGCAAGTTTAGATTTGAGGATATGTGTATTTACAGATTTGTATGTCTGTATGTATACAGAATATGATCATGTATGAATATACTGTCTAAAAAGACATCATTTGCCAGAGCTTGACAGGCTACAGGCCTCCCGTGTGCCGGCAGCCATCGCTTGCTGTGCCTGTGTGCAGGGCCCATCTTCTGTTGGTGTTGTGGCAAAGCAGTCTCTCAAGATCTTTAGCGTGCACATGCACTAGAAATCCCGTTTTGTTTGCCCGAAGCCTCTTGTTTCCGAACTTTTCTGAAGATTGCCTTTGTTCATCTTCAGATGCGGCAGCTGTCTGCTGCTGGCGCTTCTGACTAGCAACTCCGATTCTGCGCTTTGAGGCTATTGCCAGGAAATCCCTCTGCTCAATCTCAGACTTGGTGTGATGAACGAGGGCTGCCCTTATTGCCACTGGCTGTTCATTCTGCACTCCAAAAAGTCCAAGCTGGGTCTTCGTGCGTGATAGGTTGAACAGAGATCCGCTTCGCATTATCAGAGGTAGTCCTAGCTTTCCGGCCTGAATCCTGAACGTGTTGGGGTGCCGGCAAGCAGTTTAGGGTTTAGGGTACTGATTTCAAGGCTCCAAAAAGTTGAATGTAGTTAGCGTAGTTCTCACTGGGGCCCGAGGCTCAAAGAGGCTTCCATGTGCAAGCACATGTCACTGCATAGCTGTCCTGCAGGACGACGCCACGTTTAGCCAGGCTTTGCATGGAGGATGGCGTATCTTCCACCCAAACCAAGCACATTTACAATTGAGGGCATGTGGCGAGGAGGGCCCATCATTCCTTCGCCCAGGGACCTGTGACTTGAGGCAGCATAGTCAAGGTAGCGTGCGTTGTGGGCTTAGGTGGAGACCATGGTGGACTCCTTGGGCCGCAACATTTTGGACAAACTCAATGAGTTTGTGCCTCCGCTCCTTCAGCTTGCGCTGACGCTGTTTGCGGGCAGCCCAGTGTTTGGACTCTACCAGAGACAAATCAAATGCACAGATTCGCTGGGGACACGCATTCTGCTTGCAGAAACTCCTACAGCAGGCTTCAAGGCCTGAAATTCCTGCCCCGACAACCCAGGCCAAAGACAGCAACGTCAACGTGCTTCTGGACTGCCAACTTTCTCTACAACCAGCTCGGAGAGCAGTGCTGAGAGAGACACCCTGTGCGTGGCAGGACCAGGTTCTGCGAAGTCTGCAAGCGCTGGCGCGCGGCGTGGGCCCTTTCCTGTCGCCCTTCCTAGGCCGCTTTCTCGAGGTCCCTTGGCTTCATGTGGAATCCGGAAGCAGTCGTCACATGATGGTTGTCGCATGTTGTCGCACTTGCCGGGGCAAAAATGCAGTTCAGTGAACGTTCATCGGAGTAGAGCCAGCTGAGTATCCGTGGCTCGTTTTCCTTCTACGCCTGGAATGCCTGAAGCTTGAAGGGCAACTTCAATTCCATAGAGTAAAGTCACAAAGCCAGCTGCCATGCAGCACACGCTTGGACTTGATTGCTGCGAGAGCCTCCAGGGTCGACGTTGACGTCTGCTTCGTTCCAAGAAACTACAAAACAGGAAGATTTTCAGGGTGAGATCTTCGTTTGGCTCATGCCTGATCATGACCGGACCGTGAAGGATACAGACTGGGGCCCCTTCCGATACGTCCGCACGCCCAAGAAATCCTCGAAGGCGCGCCTTGTTGTCTCACAGAATTTCTGCTCCAAAAGCAGGCCATACTTTGGAGAACCATGCAGACAAAAGAGGCGAGATCAAGACAAACATGATTCAAAATCAAAGGCACTCTCAACGGTTACACGGTGTCACAAGGACGCAGCACGTGTAGGAAGGGGCCTGAGCTGGTCAACGTGCAGATGCGAAGCGTGGGCGACATGGTCTGCCCCTGCGATGCTTCCCCCGAGGGAACACATTCCGATTCCACAAAGGACGTCGTCGGGGAAACGCATGCGGAGGCTGCTCTGTGACGAGAAAAACAGAACAACTTACCAGGCAGCAGAAAGCTTTGACATCGACCTCAGTGCCCTGATCTGGCTTGCAGGTCAGTTGCGGAGGGCCTCAAAATCCAGCATTGCAGGAGCCCTTCAATTTTTGCATCCTTCCACTGAGCCCAGCATGGCCTAGCCAGATATCTTGAAACCCAGCCTCAAAGCGCAGGACCTCGCCTCTGAGCTGGTTGCCAGCGTGCCACACCGGCTCCTGCTGATTTCAGTCGGGGTCTCAGTGACCCCCGTTTTCTCCGGGCAACTCTGAGGAGCTCCCGTTTTGTTCCGCACAGTTGAGATCACATCAGGTGCAAACAGCGACCGTGGACTCCTTCGATACTTCCGAGGAACGTCAGCTTGAGGTGCTGGACCACAAGCTCATCTACATGCAGAGGCTACCCAGGGAGCATCAGGGAGCCCGGGGGCTTTGGTTCAGGGTTCACGGCCTCATGCGCTCGGAGCCAGGCCCTACCCCTACAACTCGCAGTGACCTCACCTCGCCCCACACCAAAGCAGAACTCGCAAGTCTTGCCTAGTCCCCAAAGTACAATTCCTCAGACTCTGCATGCAGACCTTTGCTGGTTGCTACCCTCGAGGCTTGCGACCTTCTACATCTGGATCCTTTCCAAGGCGTGCTACAGATGATTCCATGATGTTCCATGCTGGCAAGTTTAAGTACATTGCAAACTGCTTAAAGGATTAAACGCGGAAGATCAACTGCAGTATGGGCAGATGTGAGGAGACTCCGGAGTTTGTGGCCACAGTGGCTGACACCATCATGGCCGCACTTCTGAGGCGAGGGAGGGAAAAGATAGAAGGGTGGCACCTTGAAGCACGAACCCAAGCTGCTTAGACACGGCGCTTGAAGACCTGCGAGGCTTCTGGGCATCTCCAGTGCCGCCGTTGGTGCTTTCCTCCTTGCTGGGGTGGAGCCAGCTGCCATCCCATCCAGGTCCCCTACGAACTTAGGCGTTTTGCCCACACACGCGCTTGGTTTGCCCAGGGCCCTGCGCCGAGATCCTCTGCGCTCTGTGTCCCTGGTGGACGAAGCTCTACAGGCCTTTCGGAAATCGGCAATTTCTTGTTTGCGGAAGTGCTACAAGTTGGTCAGATCTTTCGTAGGACTTGAGCTGGGAGCAGTTCTGCAGCAAGCCTTCTCTTTGGCAGCTCCACCAGCTGGTCTAGAGCTTGGCGTCTTATCGCGAACAGCGGCTTTCATGCTCAACTTTCAGTAGCTTCTTGAAGCCTTTACTCCAGGCTGCAGCAGCCTTTGCACAGTTTGCCTTGCGACTGGAGATGGAGGAGACTGGACAAGAGCCACTTGCCACTTGTGACGGGGCTTGTTGCGTGAATGTCGAGAGGAATTGCGAAGTCGCTTGGTCAAGGCATGGTGAAGCCAACCGAAGCCTGTTGCAAAGTCTGTGCTCCTGGAAAGAGTTGTTTGGCCGATCCTCTCGGATACAGGTCCTGGACTGGGCGCGCAGCAAGCAGCCAAAGTTGCTGGAGCAGCAGAGGCGCTTGCTCACACTGAGTCGCACTGTCAACGATTAGAATCCTGAAAACGTCTTCATTGAGGCTGAGGAAGGCAAAGGACTTTGAAAGCTTTGATGCAGCGGCCGATGCAGCAGCTGCCTGTCGCGTGATGGTGCAGGGCTAAGGATGCTAAGGCCAAAGCCCAACATCCCCCAACAGGCCCGAGGTATTGTAGGTGTAACTGTAGGAGCTTCTCCAAGGCGCTCACCTCCACCATGAGCTGCATCGCTGACGCAGCCCCCGGAATAGCAGAAGAGCTGCTGTTACCGTTGGGCACCAAGGACAGCGCCGTTACCAAAGCTACTGACTTTGCTCCTGAACTCAGTATCCACTGCCGTTGAGCCCTTGTCCAGCAGTCAGCCAGGACGTGTCGTCAGCATTGGTTGCATGCCGCCGGTTTGCGCAGTTGACCCAGTAAACTATCTTGCCAAGGCTGATTTCCTGGATCTTCAAACTTTGACAGAATTTGTTGCAATGAGTGGCTAAATGTTGATGGCAAGTTGATGGCAAGTTGATGGCAAACTCGACACTCAGTCCCCAAGGCATTTCAAGGTCATGGTGTTCCTTGTGTTGTATGAAATCTTGTGTGATCAGATAGAATGACAACATGTATTTGGCTTATTGTCGTGACAAAACAGGCGTTAGAAGCAGGCACTGGAAACGCATTCCACTACTTTTACTCTACGAGAATAGAGGCATGAGCACAGTATACAGTATACACATCGACCCCTTGTGGATGTTTGGATTCAATCAGAGATTGCAGAAGCAGGAAACAAAAACCCCATAAGGTACATGTAGTGGGGTGGTGGTGGTGATACTTGAGGGAAGTCCTGGGGAGTATAGTAATAGAGTGATCGAATTTCCCCTGCCCAGGGTCCAAATTGCTGGTCAGAGGGCGCGGAAGCGCCGGAAGACTAGCGAGAAGGACGCTAATCCCATGGAGGCTTTCCGAGGGCCTTGCAGGGTGAGCTCAGGAAAAACGCGGAACAGTTGTCAGGCGCTACAATCGCACACCTGGTGGTGGTTCGATGTGCGCCCAGCACTGCGATTGCCCGTATTAACTTATGATAATCTGGCCCTGGTTACAGATGCGGACAGCAGAGTGTGAAGCAGGTGGCCTGTTCCTGCTTAGACTTCATTGCCACGGCGTGCAAGTCTCCCAGCAGCGCCGGTTAGGGCCTTGGCCAAGTGATTGCTGACTTGTGGTACTGTCGTGACTATGAGAGGTACCGAAGCAAAGACCTTCGCCGACACTGCAGAGGCTCTGCTGCTTTGGTATTCTGCTTGGGGTGGTCAAAGTGGAGGAATTCTAGGAGAAGTGAGCAGCGGCGCGCCAGCAAGAATTCGCTGCAAAGAGGGTATGTAAGCTGCCGCACAGGAACTGCGGGACCCCGTGGTCAACCTCTTGGACATTTTTGAGTTTCTTTCAGAGGCATGGGCCTGGGCTTCGATGTGCAAAGAGTTGTTTAGATTCTGCTGTAATCCAGTCTCGCTGCCTTAGCGAAGAGAGAGTGATTCGAAAAGAGCCCCGAGCAGTCAGCGATGTCTAGCAACGCCGGCCTAGCTTCCGCTCACCGCATGATGGGGTGGTGGAGAGGCCTTTGGCACGACAACAGAGCTGCGAAAAGTGCTCGGCCTAGCCTCTTTTGATCTTGGCTTCCTTGAGCCTTTTCCATCTTTCCGCTTGAGATGCTTGAGGCTCTCGAGGCAGCAGTGGTTGCGCTCACCAACGTCGCCAGCGAGAGCGGCGTAAAGATGCTGGTGCAGGCAGGGAATGGGACAGTCAGCCTCTGCAGCCGGGAGCCTGTACTGTTCGTTCTGCATCGTACTGCGTGCAGGCCATTCTGGAGAAAAGCCGCTCCGAGGATGCTGAGGCGCCTAACATGCCTAACGTCCAGAAAAAGCAGAGCGTGCTTCCCGATCTGCGTCCCACAGGTACGTCTTGGCGCCGTGAGATGTGTCCACCGCATTTGGATGGACCTCGGCGTCCAGGCAAGGTAGCAAGTATGGGACGGTCAGTGGAAAGCAGGAGCAGAGTATGGAGCAAGATGCCAGCGTCATGGCATATTCTCCTGGTATGCAGGTCGTAATGTGCTTGTCCGAAGTTACGATGTATGCCTCCGAGCTCCTTGAAGATGAGGCACAGCAAGAATCAAGAGAACGCCCGGGGCGCTTGTGCCGCTTGTGCAACTTCTGCTTGTGAGGACTCGCGGGTAGAGATGGCTGTTCGGGCCATGATCAAAACGATGGAGGTGCCTGGAACACCAAAGCAAGTGCACTAAGCCGATCTAAGCCGGATTTGTGGAGTCTGGCAACCTGCGCAGGACTGCACGGGCGAGAGCTTGCAGGACACCTTGAAAAGCTGAGGTGCTGCATTCTCGCTTGTACAGCGCAAGCGCAAGTTATTTGACATAAGACGGCAGACGCCTAAATTCTTCAATAATTACCTAAGCCCCGCCCTGGTCTTTCAGGACGAGTCGTAAGACTTATTGAAAGGGGACTGCCGGCTGCCGCACGAATCGATTCAGTGTTTCACAAACACCGCGCGGACGTGGACAAATTCTGGTGTTGCGACGGGGCTTGGGGATGGCTGCGATTGCTAAAAGACCTTGCGCTGCGATTCTGAATTGAAGGTTACGACGTCCAAAGGAAATTTTTGGGAACAGGCCCTCGCTTTCTGCCGTAGCGATTAGGGAAAAAGGGGTGTATTTTGTGTTTGAGTGTTGGGGTCTCGGCTTTGCGCGTTTGCCTACTCCAAACACCTATCTGACAGCGTTAAGTGCTCATGGGGCATTGCGGGCATGTTTGAGCCCTGCAAGTGTGCCAGATGTCTTGGGTTCGGGGCCTTGTGCACCGAAAGTTGGCAAGCTCTTTCCTCATAGAGCATTCAGAAACCATAATCGCCTATGCTGCTATTTCGACAGGGTCTTAAGAAGGAAGGCGAGGCGACGCTTTGGCTACCGCACATTTCTCATTAGAACAGGACGGCAGGCATCCGCGCAGCATCAGGCTTCACTATTGCAGGTTCAGGCTGATGTCCACTGGGCACGCGACCTCCAGTCTGCATGGATGACCCTTGCAAAAGGCGCAAATCATCTCCAGCTTGATGCATTCTGCGCCGTGGACCCCCCCGACCCCCCGTGCCCCCGCTTGAACATTTTGTGACTTACGTTGACGGGACCCTGCTTGGGTGGCGATGTCGTTGCGACGCACGGGAAACGTTAGTTTTGCTTTTTCTGGTGAAGAATGCTGTGCAACGTGTGTCGTTGAGTGCTGTACCTGTTGCAAATGATCCCGGAAATTCTTCTTCAAGGTCGTCAGAATGTCGGAGTGCAACGTTTTTTGTCCGTGATTTATCGCTTGCGTATGTTGTGTCCGGCATTTTGGGAGTCAGCTCGCATGTGTTCTGTTGGTGAAATCGTCCTGTCGCTGAAGCGTCCTAACACTTCGCCAAGTAGCTTTGCATCATTGGCAATTCAGCGCTGAACAACATAAATTAAAGGAACGCTGCGTGCCATGTTTACACAGCGGCTCGAAAAGGTTCATTTTTTTTGACGGCCTGGCTCCCCACCTGGCAAAAAGGTGTGGATAAAATGGGGCCACACTTTTGAAAACCTACCGTACATCTTTCGCTGGCTTCAGCCTGATTTTACTTGAAAGGTTGCTGAATCAGGGACTCAGCTAACAGGCTAGGGTTTGAGGTTTGGGGGCCATATAGAAGTTAGGTCCCACCTTTCATGAGCAAGCTACGGAATCCCGAAGGACACCAAACCCCATGTGCTATAAGTCCTAAACCCTACACCAAGCCCTTAGCCTTGGACTCTGAATCATAATGACGGACAATGCTTCGAACTGCCACCGCGGGTTAGAGCGAAAGTAGCGCCACTCCTACAATCCAGACATCCAGATGCTCCACAGCACTGGCAAAAACATCTCGGGAAGCTGGAAGTGGTCTACTGCCTTGGCCAGTACCTACACTGTTTGCACACAGAATGTCGCGCAGGTCACGGTCCGCCCGACTGAGCGCGTCATCTTGAGCCAGCACGCTATCGTCAAGATCGACATCGAGGGCTCAGCTGACTTACATACCTCCTATCCTAAACTGCCGTAATCCCTAGAAAGCCTAGACTATGGATCTAGTCATTGTGGCTCAAGAATGCAATTTTGATCAAGGTCCGGTAGTAGTTGCTCTCGCTCTGTTTTTGTGCGATGGCTGCATGGCTCCTTGGCAAATGGGGCGTGGCGACCTCGGTGGTAAGACTGTCGGCGGCCTCGTCAGCCGCGTCGTTTGCCTCTACCTTGCCAGCTGGCTGCCGCTAGCTAGAGCCCAGCCCTGCGCGAGCCCTCTCCACATGCGGGGCGTAAAGTAACGCCCCAACCTACTTTACGCCAGGCTTCCTTCTCCTTTCGATGGCGTGGGGTTGGCTCTTGCTGGGCATCCTCTTGGGCGCATGCGCCTCTCAGTCAGTCGTGCGGGCCATGCGTCATGCCCGCTTGACTGCAAAGTGCAATGCTGGGGCCGTCGCGGATTTCCCTCCAGTGCGTCGCCCTGGGTGACAACGCCTGCGAGATTGTTCCACACGCTGCCGCTGCTCGGTGACCTCTTGCCCGCAGCCAATGCGCGGGCCCCCCATAGCAAGCCCTGCCGAACCATGCGACGGTGACAAACGCGCCTGAGACGGTGGTGCTGAGGCAGCCGACCGATGGTCCACGCCCGAGCGTCCGCAGCGGCGCCGACACTCGCGTACTTTTTTGGAGCTCACACGAAGCTCAGCAGCCGCTGGTTGCCTGCCTTGCGTGTTGTTCTGCGATAGACAGGTCTTACGCACTTGCCAGTAGCATTGCCCGCTTGCCGCGAAGCCATTCTCACAGGCTCACTGCTTGCGCATTTCTTCTCTTTGCCCACATGGCTGCCTGCCGTTCGGCGCTGACATGCCCAATGCCCGCTGCTGCTCAGCAACAGGTGTGGCAGCGAAAGCAAAGGCAGCGGTGGCAGGGGACGTGGCCTGGCACTGCGTTCCAGCTCTGCCGCGGCGGCGGCCGGTCGGCTCCTCCTTATATTTGCAAAAAGTGCGGACTGGGAACGGGCCAGGATGTACGTAGTTCCGCTCGCCCACCAATATCCGCACAGCTTCCCGAAGCGTTAATGCCACATCGGGCCCGGCAGGGAGCAGACAACTGAGGCGGCGGGCCGCTTCATTGACAGGCTGCTCCTCTGCTTGCCTGGGCCTTGCCTGCGGCCGCTCTCTGGCCCAGGTGGGTTGCTGCGGGGCCGTTTTGCTTTATCCATGTGCTCCCGGACGATCTGGACGTGCCGCGTGCCCAGGCAACCCATGGCCAGGAGCCGGCAAGTAGTTAGCGATGCGCCACATGTGCAGTTGCTGCGCGTTCGGGGTGGGCGCCGACCCTTCGCAGCGCCCCACCGCTGCCAGGGGGGGCGGCGGCGACACTTCCCACGTAGCCAAGGGCACGCCACGGCCCGGAAGCAATGCCGAGCGACTTTGCACAACTGCCCGTGCTACATGAGTTGCCGCGAATGGTACACCCTGTGGCGTCGGAACCTTCCTCACCTGCTGCATGTTTCTGACCCGATAGAATGCGCAAAAGCCCCCAACGGTGAGGCAAATGAATTTCAACGCCGCGACCGCGACGTCCAACAGGTAACCGTTCCAACGCGCGTTTGACGCATTTGCTGGATGTTATGCAGATCACCTGACCAGCAAATATCCGAGGATTTCTGACGCATGTCTCTTTGACTTGTTGTAATTCTAAGGCACGTCGTCCAAGAGATTAGCGTTTATTGACAGCAAAGCGTTGTTTTTGACAAGAACAAGGCACCAAACCCCATCTGGATGCCATGAACATGGAATGTAAAAAACGATTGGAAATACATGGGGGCGTGCGTCAAGGGTGTGTTCTGAATCCGCGCTTATTTGTACAGCGGTCGAATGGGGTATGCGCGCTTAGCTTAGGGGTTGTGCGGGCAAGCTTCCGGGCTTGTTGTGCATCAGGACCGCGATGCATTGACTGATTTTCGGCTCGCTAATGACGTTGTAATGTTTGCGTTTTGACGCCTACAATGGACTGACGTGCGGCGATCCTTGGTTGAAAAGATTGGACGTATTTTCGTGCCGATAAAACCGGGTCACAACCGCTTGAAGAGGTCTGGTTGGACAGTATGCTTGCACCGAGGTTACTCATACCTGCCACAAATGTCGTGATGCAGGTGACAGGCGTGTCCCAGCAACGTTGCGCATCCAATGCCTTGAGGCGTTTGTTAGTCCCATCGCATGCATTGGAACAGAGCGTCGCAAAGATCCATCATCATCATCACCGAGGTACTGCGTTTGCTTCGCGTTTTGTTCCGTCCACCGCCCGGCGTTGATTAGATTCCACAGCATTGGAATGAGCGTGTGCTTGACTTCCGGCGGAAGTTCCATCTGCAAAGCTGCTGCGAAACACGTGTCCCGATACGGAAACAACATGCTTGCGAGCCTCCAGCATACAAAAATGGAAGGTGTGCGCAGTTAGTGCAGCATACTCTATTTTTTTTGGCGCTTGGTAGTTTGCAGTTTGCGCCCCGTCAGTTGCCCATCCCCCACCTGCAGATGAATTTGCTGACATGTTGTCAGATTTCTTGTCAGAAACGGTGGCGGAGCCTGTCAGGCCAGCTTCTTTGGATGATGCCCCTGTTGACGCACAAACTTGACGTTCGTTCAAATCGGATGATAACCAGCATTTGCATTTTCATTGTCGCAACATCAGCTGGAATGCGGGATTTGTTGCGCAGCTAGCTTGGACGCGACGGTGGAGGGGTATGCTGGCAGTGGCAGCAAGCACGGGACAGCTTGGCCTGCTCGCTGGCTGTCGATGACCTCCTGTTGCGGCCAAAACAATCAACGAGACAGCGCGGCTTGCTCGCAGGCTGATGCCCCCATGCCCTTGCACCAAAAAAATGCAGAAGGAACAACGCGGTGCAAACCAAAATTCCACCCGCCTCAAACTCTGAATGGGAGAACCTACACGCACCAACGCGTGGAGAAAATTGCCGACCAAAACAAAAGCAGACGAGCTCCGGCCAGGAAACGTGAACGCAACACAAACTCAAAAAGACGCACCTGCTCCTCAACGAAGTCAACCAACACAAGTCACACCTTGACCAGTGATGCAGGGGCAAAGGAATCGTTTCAACAAAAAATCACACAAATAAAGATGCAAAAATAAACAAGTCTGGGCCGGGTTAAAACAAACAACCGAGGTGAAACCAACTCCCGTCTGGCACCCTTTCTTTGCAAGTGAAACCGGCGCAACCCCAAAAACAAACCTGGCTCTGAGCCGGAAAAGGGGACACGAACGATTTCGCGCA